TTTTGAGTTTAATTCTGGATTCTTTCAGTGATATGACCAGCAATATCAGCAATACTGGTACCAAGAGGATAACTTAGTTTTGAAAGTCTCTGTAAATCTTCTTAAATTCTCTTGTGTACACTATCTCACTTTTAACTTTCTGCAATTACCTCCTTTTTTTCCATGACACAATTATTTAAAAAGAGGAGTTGAAAAGATCATTAAGTTTCTTCCTATGTACAAAAGCAGGGCTAGGAATGTGGCTTAGTGGTCGAGGGCTTGCCTAGCATGCATGAAGCCCTGGGTTCAATTCCTCAGTCAGAAAAAGCCAGAAGTGGCACTTTGGCTCAAGTGGTAGAGGCTAGTCTTGAGCAAAAGAAGCTCAGGGATAGTGCCCAGGCCCTGAGTTCAGGCTCCTAGACTGGGAAGGAAGGAAGGAAGGAAGAACGGAAGGAAGAAAGGAAGGAGGGAGGGGGGGGGGAGAGAGGGAGGAAGGAAGGAAGGAAGGAAGGGAAAGCTTCTAAAATAGAAACCTGTCAGTTAATCCTAATATTTTCAGAAAATCAAAAAAATGAAACTATAACATTTAGTATTGCCTCAAAAAATAGCTGTTTAGCTTTTTTTATTTATATTTCTGAAAAACTCTCCATGAAACATTCTCAACAAAATCTTTGCCTTCAAAGAATATGATAAAAGTTAAAAGAAATGTAAGAGGAAAGCATATCTTTTGTAATGATTTCTAAAAAGTGTTTTGTACTTTGACATATAAAAGGATCATCAGTTTGTCATAATTTATACATCAAAATTATGCTCATTGACAGAGAAAATGTATTTTTACCTGTTTTTATTGCTACCTCATAAATCACGGTGAGGATATTTTGGAGGTAGATATTCATTATATAGGCACAGAAGGAAATGAGGTCTCATTCAAGAATTTTTAACAATAGAGCTACATTACTTAAACATCTTGCATTCAACTGTGTAGTTATCAGTTTTCCTCATTTCAAGACTTATGATCCTGGTTGGGTTATTTGTAACATTAATGCAATAAGCCAGATAAGATAAAATTAATAGAGACAGCTGGACACTGATGGCTCACTGTTGTAATTCTAGCTATTCAAGAGAGTGAAATCTTTGGGTCAAGGTTCAAAGCCAGCATAAGCAGAAATGTCCAGAAGATTCTTATCTTCAATCAACTAGCAAAAGCCAGAAGTAGTAGTGGTATAGCTTAAGTGGTAGAAAGCTAGCTTTGAATGGGAGAAAAAAAAGCCAACTGAGAGTTCGAGTTCCTGAGTTCAACCTTCAGTATTGTCAAACTTATATAAAACAAACAACCCTATTCTATTTATTGAATACCTATTATAGGCTAAATACTATATATTTTCATGTATTATCCCAAGCATTTCTCTGATATATTCTGAGATGGGAATTATTTAGTCATAAGATGTACATATTTTCAATTTTATAAGGTATTATCTGTTTCCTAAAGTGTCTATGAACTGAAACTCTAGCAGAGTTTGCATTGTTTTTCATTCTTATCAGTACTTGCTATCATCCAACTTTTTTTGTTGTTGTTGTTGGTTGTGGGGCTTGAACTCTGGGCTTGGGCGCTGTCCTTCAGCTCTTCAGCTCAAGGCAAGCGCTCTACTGCTTGAGCCACTGCGCCACTTCCAGTTTTTCAGTGATTTATTGGAGATGAGAGTCTCACAGCCTTTCCTGCCTGGGCTGACTTTGAACCGTGATCCAGTTCTCAGCTTCCTGAGTAGCTAGGATTACAAGTGTGAGCCACTGGCACCCAGTTATCATCCAACTTTTAAAAATATTTGCCAATCTTAAGAGTATGAAGCCAAGACTTAGATTCATAAAGAAATCTGCTAGAGTAAATAAGCGCTAGTGCTGTGTTGTAACACAGGTATGGTTTATATTAATTATAATAGGCTGGATTCAAAGAAATAACAATGAGGAGTAGTTATAAAAAATGAAAATTGGATTTTTGTTATATTTCGATAATTTTATTTTATTTTATTATCTTTTTTTGGGGGGGGGGTCCGGTCGTGGGGCCTGAACTCTGGGCCTGGGCGCTGTCCCTCAGCTCTTCAGCTCAAGGCTAGCGCTCTACCACTTGAGCCACAGCGCCACTTCCGGCTTTTTTCTTTCTGCTTATGTGGTGCTAAGGAATTGAACCCAGGGCATCAGGCATGCAAGGTAAGCGCTCTACCACTGAGCCACCTTCCCAGCCCCCCTGATAATTTTATTTAAGGACATTCTTAGGGGAGTTTTGAAAATGCAATTTTAGATTACCTGGATCAAATTTGCCTGGTGTAATTACTGTGTATGCCAAGCTTACTAGAAAATCAAGTGTTTTCCTGATCCCATCATTATTTCTTCTATTTTAGGATAGGGTGGGATCCAGGTGTGTCTACATTTTTAACAAACTAGTTTTGATTTCTTTTCTTTCTTTCTTCTTTTTTTGGTTGCTTTTGGGACTTGATGATTCAGGGCCGGTCCTTGTCTCTGAACATTTTTGTTCAAGGCCAGCTCTCTACCACTTTGAGGCACAGCTCTGTGAGATTTTCCAGGCTGGCTTCAAACTGCAATCCTCAGATCTCAGCCACCTGAATAGCTAGGATTACAGGCATGAGCCACTGGCAACTAGCTAAGAGATTCTTAAACATAAGAGTGTTTATTAAAGATCAGAGAACTACAAGACAGGTGCTGGTGGCTCATGCCTGTAATCCTAGCTACTCAGGAGTCTGAGGTCTGAGGAATGTCCATGAGACTCTTAGCTCCAACTAACCATCAAAAAGTCAGAGGTGGAGCTGTGGCTCAAATGTTAACATAGAGGCACTAGCTGTAAGCACAAAAGCTCAGGGACAGCTCCCAGGCAGAATTCAAGCCCCAGAGCTATCAGAAAAAAGCAAAACAAAATCAACAGCACTCTTAGGAGAAGAACAGAATAACACAATGTCTATATGCATGTGATCATACAAAGTAATGTTTGTTGAAATGAAGTCCAGGAAATGATAGCTAGATATTTTCTATTTTGATGTTTTTTTTTTCTTTTTTGTTTTGTTTGTCTATATGTCTTTTGGAGTGTAAGGGGAGGCACAGAAATGGAGGGACAAAGGGTAAACAAATGCATCAATGGTACCATGTTGAAAATGAACTATACAACTTGTGGGTAGGATAGAAGGGAAAAACTGGGAGAGACTGAGGAAAGGGATGACATTTATCCAAAAGGAAATGTACTCTTTGCTTGACTTATGTAACTAAGCCCTCTGTTTGTTTTTAGCATTTTCAAATAAAGATAATAAATAAAAACAACTACTAAAGAATCTCTGCTTAAGTAGCACAATAAACTATGTTTAGGAATTAATAGATTTATTATCTATTGTTTCAGAGACATTAATTTACCAAATATCTGAAAACACTATTTTTGTCACAAAGCTCAATTCAGCAGAAAAACATTTCTGCATAATTTTTGTTCCAAAACATGAAATTGAGTGACTGTTAATTATCAAAATCTAGCTGCAAACAATGTCCTTAAACTGAACTTTCACAATTATGCTTATTTCCAATGGTTTGATTATTTTGTTATAAAATTAAATAATTGCATTAAAGAATCAGTGTCATACTTTGAGAAAAAGATTTGTTCTTCAAATACTGAAAATAAAATGTGACAATTTGTCTGTCATGCTTGCAAAACAGAGGCTTTAAATCCTATATTATATGTAGAAGTTGTTAGCTATTCTAAGGGTACAATAAGAGATTATTGTTCATATCAGTGTAATAAATTGATACTCCCTCATCATACATTTTCATTTTGCACATTGTCAGAACCTTGGACCTTAATCTTATTCTTTGATTGACAGTAGCGACCAGGGAAAGAACACTTGTATTGTTTGGGATAGTCACATCTGTTCAACTTGATTCAGTTCAGGGTATTTGCATATTCTTAAGTATTTCTTCTGAGAGGGCTTAAATCCTTCTCAAGTGCTTGATGCATTTTTGAAATTCATTCATAAGGTATCTACATGCACTAATAGTTCTTTATAATATTGCTGTACATAATCTGACAGATAAGACCACATTTTAAAACAAAGTACTTTTCAGAGATGGTACATTTTTACTTATTCTGCAGAAGTCTTTTAATATTTTACTTGAATTAGTGTATCCTTATTTTAGGCAAATTTGTCACTGACAGGACAAACTAATATTTACCAAATAATAATTCCAATGTTATTGGTAGCCTTACCTGTTTTGGTTGAAGAACAGTAATTTCTTAGAAAATATTGCAAAAAAAAGTGAATGGTTCTACTTTAGCCTCTCCTTATTTCCTGACTTGTGCAAGGTCATACTGCTTACAAATTAAGCCTTAAATGTTGCTTTTACCAACCATATCAATCAACTTTAAATAATAATAGTGTATGACCTCAGATCTACGTAATTACAGTTTATCCTACATCTAAGAATTTCCCCTCACTATTAGAATACAAAGATTATGTCTTGTCATTGTACTCTCCAGCATTTACAGGGAATCTTGTACATAATTAATGTCTAGTCTTTATTTTTCTGTCTTGTTCTGATGGACTGTTATTGTAAAAAAAATTATAAAACACAGCGGCTTTATTAGTGGGATGTTTAATCACCTTGGTAGCAAACAGATTTCATTTTGTGTTCTATTCCTAATGAATTAGCAATGGCTGTGTTGAGAACAATTTTGAGATCATCTGTGTTTAGTTTGCAGTCTTGCTAGGTACATGAGATTAGAGAAACTATTTCTTGCAAAATATATGTGATCTTAGGGAAGAGAAAATTATGGACTGTGATGTCAGCAATGGCCTTGGGTGGAAATAAAACTCAAACTTATAGGATGGAAGATGTTTATGCCATAAGTTCAAACACTATCTCAATAGAAAAGAATTCATAATTCAATTATTATATGATTTTATGACTAGCTATTAAAAGAACTAAACTACCAAAGTGGGTTTTTAAATTTTTATTTTTATTTTTATTTCTAGGAGTCCCCTTCTGGTCGAAGGAAAGCTCTTGCTACTAGCAGCATCAATATGAAACAATATGCAAGCCCTATGCCAACTCAGACTGATGTCAAGTTAAAATTTAAGCCATTGTCTAAAAAAGTTGTTTCTGCCACTCTCCAGTTTTCATTATCTTGTATTTTCCTTCGGGAAGGAAAAGCCACGTAAGCTTTTTAAAGTTTTTTTTTTCTCCATTGACATTGTATTTCAAAAACATCTTAGATTATAGCTTTTGACTGAGTAAACTGGCAAAGTTGAATATACTATAGCATACCAATCATTCTTATCATTCTTGGTTTTAGAGGCTGAATATAATGAATTACTTTTTATTTATAAGTCTGTTGATTACAGAGAATGAACAATAATACAAAAATAATTACAGCTAGCTCAGTAGTGCTTTGGGAATTGTAGGGTATCAGAAATATTTGCTTTATAGTTTAATGTCTTCATTGTAGCAGCTTGTACTCTGAAGTGCTACAGTTAAATTTTTAGAGATGTTTCATGCAACTGAGAGATGAGATGAACCTGAAATAACAAGTTTTAAGAAGAATGAAAGATCTAATGGAACTTTTGCCAATTCATATTTCTTGTTCCAGCCTTCCAAAAATTTCTTAGGAAGGCATAGTTAATGAACATCTATTGTAATAATTTTCCTTTTCAAAATCAGTTTACCTGGACTCAGTGATGTGTGCCTGTACACCCAGCTTTCAGAAGAGTGAGACAATAGAATCAGTTGAGGTCCAGGAATCCAAAAATATTTCTCCCAAACCACATATTATCTTAGATGTGGAATAATCATTGCACTAAGAATTCTCTCCTAAAAGAGTAAAATTCTGAGTTTGGTAGGTTAATGCATTTCTGTAATCCAATACTCTAAAAGCCGAGGCAGAAGGATTGTAATTTTGAAGCTAATTTGGGTTACATATGGGACTCTATTATAAATAAATAAATAATCCTTTCTTAGAAAGTAAAATTCTAACTAGATTAATGAGATGAATATGCATAGAGCAGGGACTAAAAAAGTAATATTCCCTATGGTCATTGTATCTAATTTTTGAGTATAAGTGAATACAACATGTATAATCAAAGAGTTAGTAGGTACTTGAAGTGGAAGATGAAGAAATACAGGATAAATAGAAATTCTATAGCTAGAATTTCCTATTAAAGTTTAAGGGGAAAGGCAGTTCTGAACATTTAAGTCTGTCTGAATTACATTTCTGAGCCTATTTGACCCATTGGAATGTGGTTACTATAATTGGCTATGTCTACTTGACTGATAAGGCTGGATTCTGTCACTCAAAATGTGATGTTTGACACTCATCTATGTGACAGCAAATGACTTGGTAGTTGAAACTATACACCTCCTCTCTGGGAAATTGTATTTTAAGTGAGTGTGGTTAGTGAGACAGTTCAAAATGGAAACATTTTAAAAATAAAGCTCTTATCCTGAAGTTTAAGCAAAAATGAAAGAAAGGGAAACACAGAAAGAAGAGAGAAAACAAATTCAGAGAAGATCCTTTGAGGGTGGACTTCCTTCCACTGGGCAGAAACCGTAAGTGAATCAGTAGCATTTGCAGTAATCTGTATGAGAGGAAATTCAGCTAAACCAAATGTCTCAATTTCATCTTAGTAAGAATTCTCTCAACATTCTAAACTCCCTCTCCACCTCCTCTTCCTTGCTTCCTCACCATTTACTCTACCAAAAATGTTCAAGGTTAAAATATGAGGGAATTAAAATTGTAAAATTAGTAAGCAAGTTAATATTTTAAGAAAGGTATATTTTAAACTTACATTCATATTATTTATTATTGATGAGAGATCTATAAGAATATCATTATCTATTACAACTTTTTTGTTCTTAAAGACTCAGTCATAAAATTTATTTAAAAGAGGGAAAAAGGTTAACTCTAAGCTTATTTGAAATAAAATGTGAACAGTTTAAAAAAACTTGTTTATTTGCAAAGTGATACTATGTTTAGATAAGTAAATGTTAATAAACATTAGTTTATATTAAAAGAAATATTTTCATTTTGCTATCTGAATATGGAGGAAATCTATCAAGTTGAAAATTAATTTGTTCATAACATGTTAAAAAGATGTTATTCACTGTTAGTTTTCTTGAAATTTAAGATAATAACATCAAAAAAATTGAATGACTTTAAACCTTACAAATTTGTATTTCAAATACTTTCTGATAAAAAATACTTTCTGGTTAAGAATTATATTTTATCAAATACATGATGTGTCACTCTTAATAAGCCATGGATAGTTTTTCATTTTGTAAATTTTATTTATTTATTTTTGCCAGTCCTGGGATTTGAACTCAGGGCCTGGGCTCTGTCTCTGAGCCCCTTTGTGCTCAAGGCTAGCACTCTACCACTTGAACTACAGCTCCACTTCTGGTGGTTAATCAGAGATAAGAGTCTCACGGACTTTCTTGTTTAGGTTGACTTTGAACTGCAGTCCTTATATATCAGCCTCCTGAGTAGCTAGGATTACAGGTGTAAGCTACTTGTACCCAGCTCTATTTTTTTTTTTTTCATTTATAATTTGAAAAAGGCTGGATTTCTTTTATAAGGTGCTTTTTTGTTCCAGTAGTTTTTAAACTTTTGGGACACATCCCTTTGAAAAAATTGCCCATTTAAGTAAGATTTACATACTTACTGAGGTTTGCTGCTTTCCTTCCTTCTGACTCTCAAATCCAAAAGGATTTATGGACTTTGAAAAATCTTCAACCAATTCCTTTGAAAGTTCCAATACTTTAAAATCTAGCTCTCTGATTTACACTTCCTTACTGTTTTTTAAAACAAGTTTATGTTTGCAGACTTCATATTCCATACTTGAGTTCTAGGAAGAAAATTTTTTAATTAAGTAGTTTTTAGTGATGTTTGTCTTTTACTAATAAAACCTATCGTTGTGCTTAGGTTTTTTTTCAATATTCTTATATAGCAACTTAAAAAGACAGATTTACTTATCCTACAGAAAGAAAGGATATATTAATATTAAAGATTTAGTATCTCTTACCTAAATGCTTAGGACCAGAAGATTTCAGATTTTTTCAAATGTTGTAATATTTTAGGATGAGACCTAAATTTAAACACAAAATCTATTTATTCCTTATGCACATAACCTAAACATAATTTCATATAACACTTTTAATTCATTTGGTGTTTGACTGAGAGCCATCACAGGAGGATAAGTATGGAATTTTTCCACGTGTGGCATTCTGACAGATTCAAAAATGTTTCGATTACAGATTTTCAGATTGGGAATGTTAAACTGGTATTTCATAAGAAACAATTTTTCAAGCAATGTCATCTAATGAATTGCATGTTTTTTTTGAATAATTGATGTAGGGATGAAGATATGCAAAGTTTGGCTAGTTTGATGAGTATGAAGCAGGCTGACATTGGCAATTTAGATGACTTTGAAGAAGACAATGAAGATGATGATGAAAACCGTGTGAACCAAGAGGAAAAAGCAGCAAAAATTACAGGTTTGGATTTTTTGTGTGTGGGGTGTTTTGGGATTTTATTTGCATTTAAAGTTTACTTTTTTCCTGTGGAGATGAAAATTTCATTTGTATTATTTTCAAAGAAAAGACAATTCCACTCAGCTTTCTTTTAATTTAATTTTTTTGCATCTTTCTAATATAATATATCATTTAGCTATCTGAAAGTTTTGCATGCTAATTATTACTTAGTAGATTTTAGCATTTTAGTCAAAAGACAGAAACAGGAGATAATCTTGAATTATAACATAAAGCAACCTAAATATGCTTATATTTCTTTTGTTAGTGTGTGGATGAAATGCAAACTTTCAGACTTCTTTTATACTTCTACTTTGGGCATTTTCTTATTATTTTTCCTTTTCTATCTTCTTTTTTAATTTTTTTATTGTGATTATAGAGATGCTATACAGAGGGGTTACATAACTTGGGTAAAGAGTACATTTCTTTTTGGACAATGTCACCCCTTCCCTCACTTTCTCTGTTTATCCCTCCCATCCTGATCCACAAATTGTATAGGTCAACTCTTCTGATCTTCTATATTTTCCACTTCGATTTTTGATGGAGTAATTCAGGAGATACAGTGTAATTCAGGAGTTCTATGTCTTATTTTTATTTTTGAATAGCATTCTATAAAAAACTTGAAAATGATAACATTAAAATTAAAATAGAATTTCACTATTCTTATATAGGATGAGAGATACAAAATGATTCTCTTGTTCTGTTTATTTAACTCCTTCTTTACTACTTCTTCCTGGCTACTAATATATTTATTTTAATAACACATTTTTCTAAAGTAAGCATTAGCATTTGCTTTGTATTTTGTAACAATGTCAGCAACAAGAAGCACAATACTCTGTGGTGTTTGTTTGTTTGTTTAATGCTGCATCTTTTCCATCTTTGAGCTATTTTTGTTATTGCTGAGCTTTTGACCATTTGTTAGCTGGAGTATATTTTTAGAAGAAACAGTGTCCTTCTGATACCACCAATAACCTTTCACCTGGTCTTTTTTTTTTGTAAACAGCACTGGGTCTGAATTCAGGTTCTTCTCCTTGCTAAATAGGTAATATGTCACTTGAACCATGACCCTAGGTCTTACCATGCCTTAGGCCTCTTGGCCTACTATCACAAAATATCTTAGACTAGCTAACTTATAAACAACAGAAATTTATTGCTCACAGGTACGGAGACTAGAAAATTAAGATCAAGGAGTTGGCAGATTTGATGTCAGGTAAAGGGCTGTTTCTGAAGGATAGCATTTTCTTTGTGTACTTACATAGCAAAAGGGGAAAGAAAAAGTACAAACTCATTCTCTGAAACTCTTATAAGAACAGTAAGGGCAGATCCTTCATGGACTGATGATTACTTTCCAAAAGACCCTATCTTTTAACACCATTGTCTTTGAGGTTAATTTTCAACCTGAATTTTTTGGGGGTATCAACATTTAGATCATAGCATATCTTTCTTTTAAATTTAAATTTTACGTTTATGTAATTCTTAGAAGCATTTCATACTGTCTCTAATGGCTTGACTACTCCATCTTTTTTATTACTACTGTGCCATTTAGGAGCATGAGGGTTTATAATTCCAATTTTTAAAAATTTTTATCTTTTAATTAGATAATATGATTTGTTGTTTGTAGGTAGCTTTTGGCTGGGCAGTGGTAGCTCACACCTGTAATCCTAGCTACTTAGAAAGCTGAGATCTGAAGATTGCAGTTTGAAGCCAGCCTGGACAGGAAGTCTTTAAGCTCTTATCTCCAATAAATTACCAAAAAAGGCTGAAAGTAGAACTGTGGCTCAAGTGGTAGAACACTAGCCTTGAGCAGAAGCAGCTCAGGTACAGTTCACAGGCCCTGAGTTCAAGTCCCAATACTGGCAAAGAAAAAAAAAGAACTAAAACCACTATATGTCAAATAGCAGTATTGTAAATGGGAAGTAAAAATCAAACATGTTCATAGTTGTTTTGAGCAGTGTTGTGCTGTTTGATCATACAGTTATTTAACATTTTTCAAATTCTGCATTGTAATTGATAACTAAAGTATTATATGTATTCATAATTATTTTGATCAGTGATGTGCTATTTGATCATAGCAATTATTTAAAAATTTTACAAATTCTGCATTGGAATTGAAACTAAAGTATTATTTTAAGTAAAATATATTTACTGAAAGCATCAGTGATAAACATTCAATAATAATTTGATTGTATGATTAAACCCTTATTACCTATTAATATACCTATTTTTTAACATTCCTGCAAGAGTAATTACTGCTTTTTATACTTCTAGCCCTAATATGAGAAATTATTTAATATAACTTGTGATTGTTTTAGATTTATTTGCAGTGATTACTACTTTATTTGTGCAAATGTGGGCATGTAGATACGTATTGATACTGGGGGCTTGGCTCTTTTGTTCAAGACTGGCATTTTACCATTTGAGGTACACTTCCATCTAATTCAACTACTTGTGTTACTATTTATTTACTTGTTTTTATTTTATCCTTTATGAAATTCTGTCAATTGTTCTAATTATTTTTTCATCTAGCTTTTAGTAGATTGTCTGGAAAATACTACAAATTTATATATGTTAACTGAAAGACCAGAGTGAATAATGTGGCTTCCTTCTTTCATTGTAGTCCGTTTAAGTCACTCTGGTTTATTATCTTGTTCTTTTGACCTTTAAACCGAGTGCCAGCAGCTCACACCTGTAATCCTAGCTAGTCAGGAAGCTGAGATCTGAGGTGCAAAGCCAGCCCAGGCAGAAAAGTCTGTGAAACTCTTATCTCCAATAAACCACCAGAAAACTGGAGCTGTGGCTCAAGTGGTAGAGCACTCGCCTTGAGCTTAAGAGCTCAGGGACAGCACCCAGGCCCAGAGTTCAAGCCCCATGACCAGCCAAAAACCATATACAACCTGTACAAAGATAAAATGGTTATGTTTTATAGGACACACATACATTTCAAAGCTTAATAACTTAATAATAGTTTTCCAACAGTAATGAATATAGAAAGTGTATGTTGAGGAAGCAGGGTAGAAAGCACAAGAGAAGACTTAGATACATATTCTAAGTCTCTAAATTCATGATCATTGCAGATTTTTTTTGTTTTAATGTTATTTTTTCTCACCATTTTCTATTATACTTTCAGAGTGTAATAACTTAAATGATTGGCTTAAATCTTTTTTTCCAGTTTTTTGCACATACGAATTCCATTTTAGAATTGCCAACTTTTAGGAATAGTTTATAGGACCAGCACCACTTTTTAAATGTTTGCGTAAAGTACTTTCAGAATAATAATAAGATATTTATAATGCTTAAATTAATATTCTAAAAGTAAACAAAATATGTGTTTCATAAACATGGTACAGTTGAAATAAATTGTGCTATTATGCCTTAATATGCAAAATAAATGTGTAATATGTAATAACATTGTATTGATAAAAATGACATTTTTCTATATTTCTCTATCTAAGCTTGGAACCTTCTTGAGGAAATAGACTGCTAGGAATTATTTTGCTTATATCTTAGTATGACACCTAGAGGCCATTCATTTCTTATTAAAAGTTATTGTTAAATGAACTTTAATAGACAGTTTTTGATTGGCATTATTAGAATGTATTTCTAATTTTAACCTTTACTAGAAATTGAAAATGAATCTGAAGTATCTATACTGGGACTGATAAAAATGTCTGTTTTGTTGTGTGTGAGACAAACACATTTTAGGAGTAACTAGTTCTCATACAGAAATCTTTTATTGATGTAGCACAAATATCTACATTCTGGAGAAATTTATCACAAGTGAATGAGCAGGGGGATTTTAATTGCAGTTGGAGATTCCTGAAACAGAGTAAGAGTAGTAGATCTTGGAGATGGAGAAAAACAAAGGCTTCTAGTGGAATGTTTATGCAGCCAATAGTTGAAATTATTTAGTTTCAAAATAATAATTGCTTCTATGCATATGACACCTTGTAAGGCTGCTTCAAACCAGGTTTGAATATTTGACAATATGTGTAGTCTTAGAATTTATTTTGTCTTTTTTGTTTGTTTTATTTTTGTTGTATTTGGGATTGAACTCAGGACCGCTCACATGCTAGGTAAGTTATACACTACTAAGCCTCATCTATAGCTCCATTATATATTTCTGAATTAACATCAACAGGAAGAGAAAAAAAAAGACTGCTATATAAAAGAAAAAGTACTATTTAATATTCCCTATTTTTCAAACACTATCAGGAAACTCAGAAAATATGAGAGACCCATGGTTTGTTACAAAGATTATTAGGGATCTACTTAGACCTAGTTGACCTAAATAGGGCAAACATGGCATTATATTCACTTAGAAGAATATTAGATAAGAAATATCAGGGCTTTTTTTCTCCATAGAAGATCTCAAGGCATACTAGGTACTATTCTTTGTCTTCTACCATCAAATGACAACTTGGATATGTAGGAGACAAGGTCCATGTTAGGAGAAGTGATTGCCTTGGCTAAAAATTCCCATGTAACACAAGAACTAATATTTTAGCTTTGTAGGTACAGTTTCCAAGTCCACGGAAAAGGTATGTCCAGTTGAGTTTCCATAGAAGCTTCAAGCATGTATACATGCCATTTGGTCTCCCCATGCTGAGACAATGTATCAGCCAGGATTCATTTTTATCATAAGCAAAATTGCCTGGAGTTTGTTAATCCTTTTCCTATGGTTAATTTGGGAGAAAGAAGAGAGACTGACATATTGGCTACCTTCAGGGAACAAACTCTAACAGCACAGATGGTAGTAGAGGAGATACCAGTTACAGATTTGAAGAGCTAGAATTGATGATGGTATGACTCAGCCTTCTGAGATTAGATGTCCTACTTTCTAGGGTTATGAGTAAGAAAAGTAGGTCTTATCCCTTTGTTTAGAAGGTACCTTAGAAGTGACATGAAACTTTGGGTAGAGAATCTATTAATTTGCCTCTGGCTTTCACTTGGGCATTTACCCTTCAGAA